AGGGGTCCCTATGTCCTCCAGCAGTCTAAGCCTATAGCAGCATAACTATAGAGATAGCTCAGGATAACCTGACTATTTTTAATGAGGTGTGAGAAATCTAAAGCCAAGCCAATAATGGAACAAAATTCACTCCATTCAAATGCATGAAATATGTTGCAATAAAACAAACTCTCCTTTAAATCAGAAAACGACCACTTTCAAAGTAATAGTTTTTTTGTTATATATTTATCATTTTTATTTTTTCAACCCTTAATCAGAATTACAATATTTGTTGTTTTTTATTGCAATATTTGATGTGTTTTATTTATATTCATTCAGTTCATGTTAACCATCCCCACCTGCAGTTACACTGAGCCCCCACTAGGGGGCGGGAACCCTTGGTAGCTGATTAAAGCATGATTAGTTCATCCCTGCCACACTAATAACTGCATGTTTGGCTCCAGTCATTGGAGAAGCTTCTTCCTGCTCTGATTCCATGTGATCGACACAGAAACCAGAGATCTGACGTTCTCAGGGCTCCTACATCTTTTCTTCGCTCCCTCTGTTGAACAGACAGCTGCTTAAAGCAAGAAAGAGACATCTGCTGGTTCCCACAGTGGGATGCTCCTCATTCGGAAAACATGTAGGAACCCTGCTGACCAGCATGGAGCTCAGGCCCACCTCCCGCATGTCTACCCCCCCCCCTCATGCATGTGCTCTGTAATAACACATCTGAATGGCAGCAGACGGTCCGGCTGTTCTGACACCAGAGTCTGTGTTCCTGTGAGCAGGGACGTGGAACGGCACCACTAAAGTGGCGGTGAAGACGCTGAAGCCCGGCACCATGTCGCCCGAGTCCTTCCTGGAGGAGGCTCAGATCATGAAGAAGCTGCGCCACGACAAGCTGGTGCAGCTGTACGCCGTGGTGTCGGAGGAGCCCATCTACATCGTCACAGAGTACATGAGCAAAGGTACGTCACAGGCCGGCGATTGGAGCCGCTGCCTTTGGTTGTCATGGTGATTTGTGTCTCCTCTGTGTCATGGTCGCGCACTGCAATGTATCACGTCTTTTTATATGCGTTTTAGTTCAGATATAGCTGTTGATTTTATTTGCTAAAAAGAGGAATGTTCCACTTGGTTTTCCAACTCGTTTTTTAAACAGCCTCTTCATTTCGTGGAGCTAAAGCTCCAAAGTTGACCTATGCGCCAAAATGGCTTCCTGTTAGAAGTTTAGCAGTCAGACAAGACAAACATTGTCTTGTCTGACTGTTGTAGGAGTCCAAGTTTTATCTAACATAGGAACATCCTACTAACTGTCAAGCATGGTAGTGGTGGCATCATGCTGTGGGGCTGTTTTACAGGGTTTCCATGCAAAAAGACTTTAAAAAGATAAAGTCCCTGTGTAACAGGAAATGCATTGGTTTGCTTTTAGCAAGTGAATAGCTTGATTGCCAACCTGTCATTTCAGGAAGCATGAATTTCAATGTGTGGCTGTTAGGATAGGGCTCCCATAGGTCTTTGAAATCCTTGAAAGTTTGTGAGTTTTAAAAAGTCATTTCAAAGCACAGAAGGTTTTGGAACCAGGCTATAGTAAGAGCCTGTAGCTAATATCTCAGTTTCAATTTCAGTTTATTTCTATAGCGCCAATTCACAACACATGTCATCTCAAGGCACTTTCCAGTTCACCAGATCATCCAGTCAGATTGATTCAAAGTTTTCTATCTAGAGAAAACCAGTTGGACTCATTGACTGGAAGGCAATCCCTCACACTAAGCATGCTTTTAGCGACAGTGGTGGGGAAAAACTCCCTTTTAACAGGAAGAAACCTCCAGCAGAAGCCGTCTGCTAAGAGCTAACTAGACTTCAAGGAGACAGAAGCAGATACTAAAGGCCACTGTAAAGCAGCTCCAGGAAACACACAGCCAGGCAGATGAACTCCAAGCCAGCTCCCATGTCAGAGGATGAAGAGAGCACATCCAATTAGTCACAGTCAGAGAAACAGGACTACACTGGAAAAACAGGCCGATCTCGAACATCCATAAACAAAGGTGTTGATGGCAGCAGCACAGCTGATATCTGCATGACAGGACATGAATCAGTGCGCATAGTCTGCTCAAAGGTGAATTGCTAATCTTTCAATTGTTCTCTAGTTGGTATTAATACCACTATTGGCTTCACTTTTATTTCACAATTGTATCATTCACATAATTTGCATCATTCACATGGACATAAGGAATCTGAATAAAAATGTTTAATGGAAACATGGCTGTGGGAATATTCTGGCGTATCAACCAGCCACAGGTTGGCACTCACTAAGGACATTAAAAATAATCTGATCCTGACAAGGATTTCCATGCATGCAAATTAGACTGACCATCAGATAAATCACATAAACCCTGCTACCGCACATGGTGCTTCGATATGAGAACATTGGTCCTGAAAAGTTTTAGAATGTGATGTTCCCCAGGTGTTGGAACCCTTTCAAAGAAGCTAAAATAATTAGGATGCTCTTCTTTTTCCCATCATAGCTGGAGAATATTTAAAGAACAAACAATGTTTTGGTTTGACCTTTAAACTATTAATCCTGCTGTTTAAGCTCGGTCAGACTGCCGAACACGGAGGGAAGCTTAATGCAAAGACGTTTGTTATCTGGGAGCTGATGGCCTGTTCTTGTGTCTCCGTCTACTGCAGGGAGTCTGCTGGACTTTCTGAAGGACGGAGAGGGTCGAGCTCTGAAGCTGCCGAACCTGGTGGACATGGCTGCACAGGTGTGTTTTACATGATTGCTTCACATTTGCAGGTATATAAGCATAGATATAATGCCAACATTCCACCTCTGGAATGTAGATGCAGCTGTTCCAGCTCCTCATGAATCCCACCATCTCTCCACTCAATCCTCTTCTGGTGCATCTTCTCTGCCTAATTTATTACTTTTTCCTTCCACTAAACTTTTCCATGCACCCAGGTGGCAGCAGGCATGGCCTACATCGAGAGGATGAACTACATCCACAGGGACCTTCGCTCTGCCAACATCCTGGTAGGAGACAACCTGGTGTGCAAGATCGCCGACTTCGGCCTGGCACGGCTAATCGAGGACAACGAGTACACAGCTCGGCAAGGTGGGGGCTCCCTTCCCTCTGCAGCGTCTCCGTCTCACTGAAATATGCATGCAGCATATGGCTGGAAATGATCCCAATATAACGATGATATGACCTTTAGGTTAATACAACAAACATAGCAGTGACTGACAGGGCTGACTTTCTTCCTGAAGAACCTGTTTCTTCCAGACAAGAAGAATCTGAATGAACAGGTTTTTTATTTTATTTCTACTGGAATAAACTGGAAGAAAGTCCTGGTAATAGATCTTATTTTGGAGAACTGGGATAGTTCTCCACCATATCCACCCGGCTACATAAGAAGGAATCTTTATTAGAACACACACAGTGACACAAACTAAGAAATTAGGAAAACTCTTTCTTGTATCCTCAGATTACCCCCATGTATTCCTGCCCACAAACCTCCCTGGATTATAGATATTGAACCCCACCTTAAGTAAGGTCCAGTAATCTTGTACGAACGATGAGAACAGAACATTTTAAACAGTGTGCACGAGGAGAAATGGGCTTGTGCACACTCTGGCACGCGTGTTTTTTTAAAGTGGAGAAGGCGGATCTTTTAAAAAAATTGAAGAAAATCCTCCACAATACCTTTAAGCCAAAATATTCACCTACATAAAGAAAACTGTCTAGTACATTTCCAAGTTTTTTTCCAGAAGAATCTGTCTCTTCCTGCCGTAAGAACAATATGGAAAAATCTTGGGAAAAAACGCCATTTGTAAGGAACCTTTCAACCATGACTGATCAAAGCCTTTATTTCTGATTGATGTTCCAGGTTTTAATTAGTTTATTTTAAAGCAAATATTTCTATAGAGTTAAATAAAAAGGCGTTTTCGTAAACATGGCAAAGTAATTGTCAGGTTCCAAAAAAGTAAAAAAAACAATCCACTGGACTTTGTTTCCAAGTTTGAAGACGTTTCTCTTCCCATCCAGGAAGCTTTTTCAATTCAAAATGTCAGAAAGTTGAGTTTGAGGTTTTTTAGAGTGAACCAAAAACAAATTATCGCTGCATTGTAGGTTTTTGAAAGTTGCAATGCAGGGATAGATTTGATTCCTTCCAGCTATCCTGGAACCCTATCCCCCTATACAGGGAAACAGAAGACCTTGCCTGTTCTGCCAGGCCAATAATTCCCTTTAACGACCCCCCTTTCAGAGACATAGACAGGTATGGAGCATTGCAGGCTAACAAAGAAACCAAAAAAAAAAAAACATTCCTAAGGAGTGGACCTATTATTCAGGTTCAATTTGCATGTTTTCTAAGCCAAATCAAGTCTTTGTTTTTGGTCCACTCTATAAAGCCAATTCCTATTCCTGACATTTTGAATTGAAAAAGCTTCCTGGATGGGAAGAGAAACGTCTTCAGACTTGGAAACAGGGTCCAGTGGATTGTTCTGTAACTTTTTTGGGATGACTGAGAATCGTCACCAGGCACCAGCTAACTATCAGGTTTGCAGGCTTCTGTTGTGGGCTGGTTATTTTGTTGATATTGATGTAATTAGATGGAAAATGTGTCTGAACCGTGCAGAGGATTAGCTGGATTCTCTCAGTAAAGACAGCTGAACATTAAAGCGTGCGGCGCTGTCTTCCTCTCCTTTCTACCATGATGCACAGCTTTGTTCCTCTGGGATTCTGCTTAATTCACCCCCCTGTCTTCTTTAGGAGCAAAGTTCCCCATCAAGTGGACCGCCCCGGAGGCTGCGCTGTACGGCAGGTTCACCATCAAGTCAGACGTGTGGTCGTTCGGCATCCTGTTGACGGAGCTGGTCACCAAGGGCCGCGTGCCTTACCCAGGTGAGGGACCCGATAAGGACACAATCTGAACAGGCCACCGAGCTCCATCTGCCTTTTCCTGCTGCTTACAGGAGCTAAAGCTTCCTGTCAACATCACTGAGCTTTGTTTTCCACTGAGTTTGAGAAATGAGGCAGCGATCAGGATCTTTCTAGAACGAAAAGGGCTAAATGTGGTGATGTTATGAAATGAGCCGAGGCTTCCAGGCACGATCCCCGAAGGCGAGGTGTGATTCTATAAGGAGAGGGGCCAAATTGATGACGTCCAAAGCCTCTCTACTGTGAGGTGACCGCTTCAGGAAGTGGTTCAGACCCCTCAAGAACTTAACAGCCTCACTACTCAGTCAAGATGTAGAAGTTTGTAGGAGAGAAGCGATCAGTTGCATAGAGTTTGGATAGATTCTACGAATAGATTGGTTGGTTTTCCAACCAATCTAGTTGGTTAAAACTATTTTAGTTTGATTAAACAATGTAATGATCCAAATCTGAGCGAGCCTTTGGCTACAGCTGTAACATTACTGTAGTGTTAAGTAGTATTGCTTTCTAGTGAGCATTTACCATTGTTAGGGGCGTCAGCTGTAAGACACGGACTTCCAATCCTGATGTTTTTGGTTTGAGACCCAACTCAGACTTTTGAAAGTTGCGATTATACTTAAGTATTTTGGCTAATGTGACTAATATGTATTAGTTTGCCCCAGAACAAATATAGATTGGGTAAAAACACTGCCAGATTTAGCTAAAGGATTGGTTGAACACATAACTTCCAACCCAGTTAAAACAAAAAACTGTGGAAAAACTGTTATGTTTGAATAAAAATTTCTAAAACCTTTCATTTTGTTCTTTCACTCTCTGCTTGAGCTTATTTTACTAAAATGGCAGTAAAACAGTGTATCTTAAATAATTTTTCTCTTCTAAAAAATTTTGCACACAAAAAAAACGAAAGATTTTATTATACACAACAATCATTAACAATTTTAAAGGAACTTAAATGGGGGGGAAAAAACAATTGCAAAAAGTCACAGATTATACTACTAACTGTAGTTCTGCAGTCCACCAGTAGGTGGTGACATGTTCACATGAAGCTTCATGAACTGTGGGGATCATTGAAGCTATTTGGCCCAACGGTTCAACGAGGCTTCATCTCACCATCACTAGTTAAATGTTTTATTTAACGATATTCTGAAAATAAGTAGTGCGCCAGAATATTTTACCTGTTTATTAGTCCTTCTGTATTAAAAAAAATTGACTGAATAAACAAAAAATGTTTTTTTACACTTCTATAGAGTATGTAAATACTAATGCTTTCCAATGAGCAGAGATTTAAAACTATCATTAACAGACGGCGAATGTTGCTCTGACATACTATCAGACTCTTTACCTTTGTTTCAGTGAAGCTAACGCTAACTGTGATATAGCTTTCTGTTTTTAGTCTAAGCCTGTAACAATCAGTGCTGGGAGAGACTTAATGCTGTTAGCAGAGCTGTTAAACTGCTGGTTCTGGTTCTTCTGAATGTTTAAACTTGGCTCCATGGAGACCATTTAGCCTTCTCAATCTATGTGCTAATTGTTAGCATGTATTTTGCTATCATTTTACTAACATTTAGCATAATGCTTTCCACTTTCCTGTCATCACATCCTCACCTTCCAAACCCAGCAGATAAGTTTATGCTTCTCCTCCATGCAGCACAGATCAATGGGAGCTATTCAGAGAACTGAAGTGTCAACAAGAAGGGTGCGGTTGCTTCAGGACCCAGAAGCAGAGATGAGTTCATGTCGGTTTAATGAAGAAAAACTGAGGCAAACATAGAAAAACAAAAATACTGAGTAACAAAAGAACAGCAAACATCAGGGAAAACCCACATGGGGAACCAGAGACTAGGAAACAACAAGGAAGCAGCACTGAGTGACTGCACCAGGAGAGTATATATGGGAGACAGAACAAAGATGGGGTAATCAGCTAATATGGAGCAGGTGTGGATAGAAGTGACTAGAAGGGAGCTAGGAAAAGGAGACAAGTATAAGGGGGCAACAGAGAGTAAATAAATGGCTTAAATATAAAACAAAATGGAAAATAAACTAAAGACCGACAAAACAGAATTACTTAGATAGTGGAAACTGAAAACTAAAAACTCAGAGTTCCAAAATGGGAGAACCATAAAATGAAGGTGTTTATCCAGAGTTTATATTAGTAACCAGAGACACAGAATGGTCATTCTGGATCCTTGTCTTCAATAAACAGTCATGTCAACATTACAACACTGAAAGGACTTCCATCAATTAATCAGATACAAATTTTAAACAAATAAATCTATAATTGACTAATAATCGTAGGTCAATTATTGGTTTAGATCTTCAATTCACAAACACAAAAGCCGTTTCTCAGTATGTGTACCTGTGCGTTCTCGTGTGCTCGTGAAACATCACCATCCTCAGCCCTAGTACTGTTCCAATTCACAAGAAGACCGAGAACGGACAAAGTCCCTGGATATTGTTCTGGTCCCTCCCTCTTTACCCAGCATGCATCAGAGCAGACTTGTCTGTTCATGAGATTGACAGCTGTCCCAGCATGCACTGCGGCAGCAGCAGCTGCCAGGTTAGCGCTCACAGAGCTCAGAGTATTAAGTTAAAAGTTCTCCTTTCTGTTGCTGTTGTTCAATAAAAGTACGTTTCAAGATCATTTGAGGTGAGAACATTATACTTTAAAGCGTCACCATATGGAACATTTACTGATTTAATGCCTAATGGAAAAAAAGTGTGGATGTTGAGAGGGCCGTGGCAACCAGCGGAGCTCCGAGGCTAACGGCAGCCAGGGCTAACGTTAGCCCGTCTGCAGCAGCCCTCTATCTGCATAGCCGTGAGTGAAGGGCCGCTGGCTCTGATGGAGATATATTTGTCTTATTTGGCAAAATGTTCATAATAGTTAAACACAAAATGATTTGTGTTTAACAATTATTCCCCAATAAATGAAAAAAGTCCAGCTCCAGACGAGCAGAGCGTGTGGTGATGTCATCAGTACGCTTCTGTTCCAATTGACCCATATCTATGCTGCGTGCTCCCGTTCTCCCAGACTGTCCTGTGTTCTTCTCTAGAACATCGTTGGCGAGGAGACGAGTCCATACTCCCGTTCTAGTGAATTTAGAAACGGCCAAAGAGTCTAAATTCTTTAGAGACTCTCGGTTTGTGCTCTGCTGCGTCGCCTCGTTTCCTCTGAACACCTGATGGCAGCTTTCACTGAGGCCTGGTGAGGGGGGTGTATTTACACACAATCAGATCACCATGGAGACGTGATAACAGTCCGTCTGAACAGCTTTAAAGTGTCTTCTATTGATTGGTTCAAGAGACTCTTGCTGCATCTCTCTCACCTCCTGCCTCCTTTTTTTATGTGTGTTTTTATTCTGATTTCCAGGCATGAACAACCGCGAGGTTCTGGAGCAGGTGGAGCGGGGCTACAGGATGCCGTGCCCCCAGGACTGCCCCATCTCGCTGCACGAGCTGATGCTGCAGTGCTGGAAGAAGGACGCAGAGGAGAGGCCCACCTTCGAGTACCTGCAGGCCTTCTTGGAGGACTACTTCACAGCCACCGAGCCTCAGTACCAGCCTGGGGATAATCTCTAAACCCCCACAGACCCTGAAACCAGCGGCTGCACCCCCCCAGGGCTCGGGTTGACCTGAGCTGGGGCAGTCCTGGTCCAAGAAGTGCTGTATTTAAATAAGATCAAACTATGGAGCAGTCAGGCTTTTTTCTTTGTTGTTGTTTTTAGGGATCTGTTCAGCTTCCTCTGCTCATCCTGAGCGTCTCAGATCCACATTCCTAAAAAGGAAACTGGTCTGAGGTCTGCAGATGAAAAACTCACCAAGGGGAAGGGGGCGGGGCTCATGCAAAGAAGTGTCCTGTATAAAAAAGAAAAGCTTGTTTTAGTTTGTCTGCCTCTCTTCCAGATTTTATTTTCTCCTGCACAAAAATAAAGTAAAAAAAAAAACCCAGGGAGCGCCACGCAGTGCATGGACCCGACAGAAGCTCCAGTGTTATTTTTTAAAATGAAATACGATGCCTCAGTATATTATTTTTTCTGCCTTTTTCTTCAGTCTAGTTTTCTTCATCTGTGTTTGCTTTGAGCGAGCTGGATGCACCTCCTGGAGGAGTCCCCTTCCTGAAGCTTCTCTTCCTCCTTTTGGGACACATGTGTGGCTCAAAGAGAATTTGCACACGTTCTCGCTCATTTGAGTGTTTTTTTTTTTTTTTTGGTGCAGCCGGTGGAGGTCCGAGGCTGCACTCCTTCACACCTCAACCCCAAACCAGCTACCTACTGAGTTCCTTCATCTTTTCTATTCTCCCGATACAGTAAATGTACCGAGTCTTCACTTCAGATGGGTCTCCAGGTGGTCGTTGTGATGTTTAGTGGGAAAAAGCTCGGGGACCAGTTCAGGTAGAGGAAGTCTGAAGGTGGACGACGGTTTGATGCTCCTCAGATGTACAGCTGGATTATTTTTAAATGTGGCTAACCTCGCTCCTTTGTATCTGACATTTCTGTTTTTTTTTTTAACATTTACTGTTTTTTGTTAATTAAGTGATTTTTTTGGCGTTTGGACTTCTGGAAAAAAGACCAATAAACATTTTACACTCTTTCCATGACTCATTCTCTTTAAAAATTGGTTTTCATATACACCCATAAAGAAAATACCAGAATCGAGTTCAGGTCAGAGACGATGAAAAAAAAAAAATATGTTTTTTTTAGATTCAGAAGTTTGTTTACTTTTCCTCTGAATTTGGTAGAATTGTCTGAAACTTGATGACGGTTAAAAAATGTATTCTTTATCAGATGATATTGTCCCAACATTTAGAAAAATTCTGTTTAAAAAAAAAAAATTCTGTCTTAAAATCTTTGTTTTTTTTCATTATCTTCTGCAGGCCAGTTAGTTATACGTCATCCTGAACACCTAAATTCGGCCAATCATGTATCAACGGTCATCTGTCAATCAAATTTTTTCGCTCATAGCATCTTGATTCATATGTCACAGCTAATATACGCAACGGTTGAAATCAGAATCATTTCCTTTCCCATTGAGTTCCGTCCCAGTGTTCACGGGGATGGACGTCTGTGTCTTCAGCAGGCGTAGAGCTAACAGAACTGGCAGCGTTGCGAGGCAAGGGCTCAAACATGTACGGCTGGAAGCCTTCTACACCAAACCAAGCTTCTGCCGCCCTGGCGTCCTCTTCCACAACATCTTCATCCCCGCTTTCCTCCTCTAAATAAAAAATGGATGACGGAGGAGACTCATCCACGACCTCCGACACTAAACTCTCCTCCTCTTGCATGTTTCCTCTGTCCATAGCGTTCCTTGACAGCGTCGTTTCTAAGTCACCAATTTAGTGCTACTTGGTCCCAATGGAATTTCCCATTGGGAACCTACTAGCACTAAGTTGCTAACTGGTTAGCAAAATGCTTCAGACAAACCGGCCACAACCAAACATGCTTGCGAACCTTCCGCCACAACAATCCCGCCCCCTTGATAATCGACCAATCACATTTACTTTATTCAGTCATGTAAAGTTGGGCTCCACTCAGGAGAATCAGAAATGCAGCAGTTGGAACAGCTGCTTCCCTACGACTTTAAACATTTAGGATGTCCTTCCACCAAACATCTTGTAGAAGTCACGGTGGAATTCTAACCCATTCCTCTGTCGGAATCTGTGATCTGTCAGACCAGCATACCCATACTCAATACTCATTTATCCCTTTAGTTTTGTACAAAAAATAGACTTTAAACTAGCTCATCGAGCGTGTATCCCTTTAATCATCTACAGAAAACGATTTAATTGCTTACTTTTTGGTGTTTTTTGAAGCATATTGCGATCTGACCTTAAATTGTTTCTTTTGTACATGACTAAAGGAATACATGCATGTTAAGTTAGTTTAAAGTCAATGATAAACTAAAGAGCTAACACCAAAGTTTTTTTTTTTTTTTTTTATATTTTTTATACAAAACTAAATGGATAAACGCAAATTTGACGTGTTGGGCATGCGTATTGACTATAGGTATGCTGATCTGACAGGATACAGGGTCAGATTAGCAGGCCTCCCTGCTCACACACCCTATATGAGCTCAGGGCTTCATGATTAAATAATTTCTTCAGTTGATATAATTAAAGCAACACAGCATAACATTTGACCCACATATTAGCTTAATTTTTGATATATTTAATGAGATTTCAGGTGGTATTGATGCTCTGTGCTAGCTGCTCTTCTCCAAACCTATTCTATGTAGCTTCAGAGGTTTAGAGCCATTGCTGACTGAGTGATGTGACCCAAAGCGCCGCTTTACAGCAGTCTGAGCTCCATTTGAACACAGAGCCCCTCCCTTTCCTCTTAAAATAAGCATGGGGAATCACCTACCGTAACCATACTGTGCCAGCACTGTAAATTATAAAAAAGGGAGGCAGACCGCAATGATTACTGAAGACAAAGCAGCTCTTATAGCAGCTAATCTGCTCAGACACATTGTTTCTATTTTCAATTACGTGGGTTTTTTTGGGCTGTGGGAGGGTCAGACTTAACCTGACTCCGCCAGATGGATTTGCTCCGCATATCCATCTGGAAACCTTCCGTTGAAGTAATTTTGGGAAGGGGCGAAAATACTGGTTAGCTGATTGGCCTATGTTGGTGATAGACGGGCCAAATAAACCAATCAGATCAACGAAGCATATGACGTACTAACAGAGCGACGACGAAAACACAACCATAAGCCAGGCTACTCTTGGCGAAACCAGTCGGGAGAAGAACAAAAACATCTTTTCCTCTGAGAAAAGCCTCCAGAGCAGTGTTTTGCTCTTCTTTCAGTGAAGAAATACTCTGTAATTCCGATAAAACTTGCTCGATAGCCACGCTAACGCTAGTTTCATCGGCTGAAGCCGCCATGTTCTTTAGACTGAACTGTCGCGCTTCTCGTTGCGTCACACCTCAACCCGCCTCAAAGCCGATTGGACGTTCGTTTGGTGAACGGCTCCAAATTTTCTTTAACAGAGAGTCTCCAGACTGATCTGCGAGTGAAATCTTGAAAGCTCGCAAGATCAGGATGATCTCACGAGGCTAGGTCAGACTTGGATTAGAAATGTGCGGAGATGCAGCTTCACTGAAGGATGGGTGGGGGTTGGAAGAAAGCAATGTTTCATCTGATGTGTGTGGAAGGTTGGCTTGGAAATCAGGACAAAGACCTTTAAAGTCCATTTAAAGGATCCATTTTCTTCCCTAACTTCATGTTTTGTGCTTCCAGAAGTACCTTCTATATTTTTTCTTCATCTCATCTAATTAATAAAGCGCACCAGTCCTTCATAGTAACTACTATATTCTAAGATTTAATCCCTCCCCCCTTTTTCCTTTAATTAGGCTTTTCATCCTAACTTAATATTCAACAGAGCAAAGGGCATGTCCTTAAACGAACATCTTTGTAGCTTTTAATTAAATGGCTTCTTCCTCTCAGAGCGGCCTTTCAGCCCATGCTGGTACAGCACAGTTCTAATGGCACTCTTCCACCAGCCTCAGCTAGCATATTCCAAAGGTCCATCTATTTTCCGTCACACTTATCCCAAGCTGGCGTCGTGAGGGGTGCTGGTGCCTACCTCCGGCTGTCTATCGGCGGAGGCGGTATACACCCTGGACAGGTCTCCAGTCCATCTCAGGGCAACACAGAGACAAACAGGACAAACAACTCACACCTAAGGAGAATTTAGAGAAGCCAATTAAACTAACAGACATGTTTTAGGACTGTGGGAGGAAGCCGGAGTACCCGGAGAGAACCAACGCATGCTCAGGGAGAACATGCAAACTCCATGCAGAAAGCTTGCAGACTGGGAATCAAACCCAGAACCTGCTTGCTGCAAGGCAGCAGTGCTACCCACTGCTCCTCTTTTCCTTTTAGCTCGAAGGTTGGTTCACACATTTCAGTTGTTCTTAGGATGTATATCAGAAAAAAATTGGTAGTTAGAAACTGTACTCAAGGGAGAACTAGTTATGTTAAGCTTCACAGCTATCTTCCTGATATCATCATGTCACTTAAGGAAGCATTGTTTGACATTTTAAGACATTCTCATATATTAGGAAACAAGCTATCAGGTCTGATGATAAAAAAGTTACCTGGTTTCAGGTCTAAAGGGAAAATATGTCTGTTCTAACATGTTAGCAATAAACCCAGAGCTAATGGAAGTCATTTTGAACAAGGGGTGCTATAAACATTTCTTTGTTTTTTTTTTCAAACAAAAGACCTATGAGCCTATAGGCCTATTTAAAATACAATTAAAATAAATAAGTAAATAGATGAAGATTCAGCTGGCAGGAACCCGAGTCACTAAGTTTATGTCACACGTGACTCTATTAGCCCTAAAATCCTTTAACCCAAACCACAAGGAAATAATCATATTATTATTCTATTTAAACCTCATTAAAAATTTCTCCACATCCATTACAAAAAGAACATATGATCAAAATAACTCTAAAATACTATGGTTACGTTAAACTGCAAAAATAGATATGAGCTACAGGCAGGGGGCCCCGCCTGGTTACAGGTGTCCTAACGTTCAGGTGCGCTAAATCTACTATGTGTACGGTTGCAATTCTTGTCTTTGCTTCGTAAAATGTGATTTTAGGAATGCCTACCCTATTCCTCCCAAACACTGCAGGATTTCTGGTCATTAAATTCACCCACCCAATCCAAACGTTTCTTCATTTTAATCTTTTCTTTAATCCTTTAAATCAGTTTTATGGCTATTAAGGGTGAGAACACATACATATGAACAGCCGTTCCTTGTAGGTAAAGCTTCCCATTTTGCTAAATTAACTCCAGTTTCTCACATTAATCAATACCTAAAGTTAAATCATCATGAATTGTTCAAAAGGTTCTTTTTTTATGTTTTTTCATTTAGTAGAATGAAATCATTTCATTAGGAGATAAGTGTAATGACAAGATGTCCTCTCGAAGCGATAAGAGTCATAAAAGCGATGGAGGTTTGGGGACACGGTCAACACGGAATAAGTCTCCTTTCACCTCTCTAAAAGCAAAACAGGAACATTTGAAGTGCAGGTGAGAGATCAAAACATGCGAGGGCAGCTTTACATGAGCTGAATTTACCTGTGATTTATTAACACTACATGAATGAATAAATGAACGTGGTTTCAAAGTCTGTTCTCTGAACTGTAATTTTTTCCCTGCTTTTCCACCCATCCAGGCGTGAGTCCCGCCCCCTCCTGTGTTTGCTCTGCACTGTTTGACCTTTTTTCTTAATGGCCTATTGATGGGTTCTTTATACCTTGTTCCAGCATCGATTTCACAACCCAAGTTTCCTTACCAACGCGGCAGCTATCTGATAAAACAAATCTGATCAAAAGTCTCAAATCTGTGTGTTTCTGTCTTCCTCTACCTCATTTGATAATTGGTTGATGCCATGTGGCGTTTCTGAGGGTTATGGGGACTCTGGCTGATAGCCTTAGATTTTATTTTGGTTGTTTTAGAAACGACGGTAAGGTTAAAGGACGTCTGTGAAGTTGCCAAAACACATGAAACACGCAGGATCTGAAAATTATGCATCACATGGCTGGTTCAGTCACTCTGTCTATTGATGTAGCGTTCAGGATCCGTTTGTGCAACATCTCCATCCATCCAGCTATAAAGGCAATGAATCCCTCCTTCTGGCGTTTTCCGTCTGTTAGATCCCTCCTTCTGTTTAGCAAAGCCTTGTCCATATGGAGCCATAATCAGCCTGGATGCACCTGAGTACAAGACCTCTTTATGGCATCTGCATAGCTTGAAGGAGCACCGTCTGAGGTCCAGCAGGTTTGACGGATTTCAAACGATTAAACATTAAAACAGAATTGTTTTTTTAAATCTGATTAGCCAGCTTTAGTTCAGGGTATATAAAGGGAAACATAAAAAGTCAGTAAGGTGGAAGCAAACAAACAAGAAACATATCTACTGTTATGGTCTAAGAAAGCCAGTAGAGCAGGTCTCCTCCTAGAATAACAAGCAAGATGATCTTCATCTTAATCTATATGTTGAAATACATTTTAAGTGTATAGTTTGGTAAAATTAATAGTTTTAAAGATCTTAAAATATTCACCTTGGAGTTCAGTATTTTTGTGTCCAGTCACTGTGTTTCTAATGGCTTTATTGCAGGTGTGAATGATGGAGGGAGCCAGTGCTTCTGTGTTTGTTACCGTACAGAAAATCTACTACCCGCTGCTTTGCATCGTGGGTATTCCAGGTTTGTCTTCTTCTTTTAGAGCCAACAGTTGCATTTATTTTTGTGTTTTCTGCTGATTATGACGTATAGGTAAAAGAATTTGTCTTTTAAAAGAGTTATGTGTCTAATAAAATAATTATTTTATAAGACAAAAGAAAAAATGCTAATGGAGAAATGTCAGCCATCTGCAAAGCATGTCCTAAAAATCTTAGGGTGGCACTGAAACCAAAAGCCATAATTTCAGGGTTTAAATCTACTGTTAAACTTGCCTGCAGAAATCATAAAGGCTTAAGTAAACACCTACTCATATCTTGGTTTAATATTTGATTTTTAATTTTACCTTGCATGATTAACTGATGCTACTACAATTTACACTGGCGAGTGGGGTGGCCGGGGCATTGCACAGATTTTATTAGTGGGTTGAGGGTGCTTTTTCTATGGCTTACTGCTTCAGTGGATCATGGCATGTAGGACAGTCACTTTCTGCCTAAAATTCTTTTATTCTGAACTATAGTCCAGTCCATTTTCTTCTCAGGACAGGTTAGAGACTTCTGACTCCTATGTGGTTCAGGGGTTGCGACAGTTGAAAGCAATGTCCAGGATGCATCTGTCTGGCATGGCTCTGAATTCACCCCTTCACCCTAAAAATAAAAATGTCAATTCAACTGAAAAATTGTTTGAATTTTGCCATTCTGGTAGCAGTTATGTGTTCAATCAATCTTTTGGTTAAAACAACTATACCAATTTGATAGTGTTTTTAACCATTCTCTACTGTGCGGAAGCGTATTGCATTCACCAAAGAAAAAACAAACAGCTTATCTCATGATGACGACATAAGATACTGATCAGTATCTCGTAAATATGAGATGTTATCTCATATATACGAGATCTTATCTCGTAAATATGAGAAAAACTGTCTGATCTTTTTTCTCTGTGAATACAATAGGCTTCCATACTATTGGTAAAAGAGCAAACCAATAGAAATTGGTGACTTAGACCTGCATACACCGCTACCGCCGCTAACACTTATTGGGATTTAGTACTAGTTATTACTTTTTTTTTAAACAGTGTCCTGTCTGGCAATGTGGCAATAAGAATAATTGTCTTGATGCCAAAAAGAGCCCAACAGATTTTACTTTCACAGTACTAGTTATTACTAATGTTACAAGCCAAGATCTGCATACTGTACATAACATTATAGTTGCTCTCTAGGTCCATAACTACACAATACACCTGGCTACACCCAAACAGTCAGATAAGTAAACCATCTGTTACCATTTTTATTGGTTGTTTGGTTAACCAATTAAATTGTTTAATCTGGGATTACGGGCTTGGTGAGTTTCTGACCAATATATTGGTTAATCTAGCCAAAATTATTTTAACCAGCTAGAGTAGCTGTTTTTCCAAACTCCTGAACGGGTTTCTCTGTAAAATTAGTTTAAGGCTGCGGTGAAACCACTATGGTTGCTATAACTGCACACTGCAAAAACCTTTGTAGCATCACCTGAAGAGGAGGGTGATTAAAAACTAAACAAGTGCTACTTCTACTCTCCTTTAAAAAGTAATTTAATATAACATGTATTGTTTGAAATGCTTTTTTTAACATAATATTATCATCTCTTTTTTTTAAGGCAGTAATTTTGGTTTTCATTTGCAGCCACATTTTTATCAGCCTTAGCAGCCCTGATGAATTAAATAGCTTGAAGTAAACGGATGCTCCTCTCCACTATTACCTTGTTTTACCTTTAAACAAGCATAGATTATTTATGAATATAATTTAGGAAGTTACTTCTTGGTTTTGTGTCTCCTTCCAGCGAACCTCTTCACGTTCTACATGATCCGTTTCCGTAAATGTGGGATGTCCAGCTCAGCCATCGTTTACCTGAGCTGTCTGGCCATTGTTGACACGTTCTATCTGGTGTGGGTCATACTTCTGGACCTGACTCTGAGCTTTTGGATCCTTCAACCCTTCTGGCACTTCTTCCCCTGGTGTGGTATCCTTGGGTTCCTACAGTACGGCTCTCTCTACAGCTCCTCCTGGATTGTGGTGGTGTTCACCATCGAGCGCTACCTGGTCCTCCGCAGCCCAGCATCCAAGCAGAACCTTTCCCAATCCTGGGCCACTAAAATGATCTGCACGGTTGTTGTCCTGCTGTCCCACCTGGTGTCTGTGCCCATGGGCTGGATCAATATCGTCACACCTGTGAACTTCACCATACATGGGGAGAACACAACCCTCCCTCGATGTCGATATCGCAATCACACCTACTCTACAGTTGTAGTGTGGATAGCTACCTTCCTCTCCGGAGGAATTCCCATTGTGTTGGTCATCACCTTCAATTGCCTCATTGGGTACCACCTATGCCGGGCCAGTAACCTCTTCACAAAGGAGGAACGACGTTTTATGTATGGAAAGAGCACCAGAAGCACATTGAAGAGAACGATTCTCCTGCTGGGAACCGTCTCTGTGGCCTTTGTCGTTCTTAGCCTGCCTCGATTTGTCACATACTGCATCCTTAGGACCAGGTACAATGATGAAACCTTCAACAGAAATGACTACAGCATTCCCATCAATGTAGCCGGGGACATGGCTAACATGCTACAGAACCTTAACTCCACCACCAACTTTTTGTTGTACTGCATGGTTAGTCGTCGCTTCCGGCAGGAGTTGGTTCAGACCATGAGGTGTAAGGCAACGTCCAGCGATCTGAGCTCCCTTCTGAGCAACACCACTATGAAGGTTTTCTCTGTTGTAAATAACACGGCTTCCCCATCCAGGAACTCTATGACTGTGGTTTTAACCAGTCTCAAACCAATGGGGTAGAAAGGAACGGTTTAAATGGATTTTGGCTTCGGTTGAATCAGGTCCTCTGACTGAGCTCCTATGATGATGATGCCAACATTTCAGCCTAATAAATTATCACAAAACAGTTTTTATTTCAACTCCATTTGGTTTAGGATTTTTCAGAAAGAATAAATGCACTAAAGAGGGGATGGAAACTCATGTTGTTAAATAAGTTTTCACGTAGTGAGAATCATTGTTAATGCCAGCAATAGAATCAGACATCCCTCTCGGTCTCATTGCTAATACAACCTAACATATTAAGTTACCTACCTACCAGGATTGCAACAAATTCATTCATCTTATTACTGATTTGTGGTATGTGCTGTTTGCCACCTCTACTTGCTGTGCAGCCAAGTGTAACTCGGATGCATCAAGAAAAGTTCCAAAAAGGCCATAAGAAAATGCTGTCTGAATCCTTGAAATTGCGCAATGCTGGCATATCTGGCATAGACAGCAGACCAGATCAGTAGTGGCATCACCAGGGGAGTTACTGGAATGAAGTCAGAGAAACAGTGAGTAAAGTTTGCTCATTATTGCATTAAATACCTCCACAAACACCTCGATAGGGGCAATGTTTTCATGCCCCAAAGCAGTTTGTAGTAGGCAATGGTTAGCATGTATGGTTAGCATATATGAACTACTCCACGGGTAGGGCACCCAACTTGCAAAACAGTTGCACAGCACCTCATGCTATCCTGCATATTCAATTCTGTTTATTTTTTATTCCATTCAATAACATTCTCTTTAAACATTCTGTCCTCACAATCAACAAAGTCCTAGCTTGTCTCCTTGCAAACCTTGAGGTACTGTGAGGAACTACTCCGGTTCAGTGTGTAGCCAGCATTTACTTCCTGGTTACTGGATCCTACAGTATGACTTCCCAGAGTTGTCAAAACAGAGCATTGCGTTTGGTATTTTATGTTGGCAAAAGTGCAGCAGCCTGCAAACAAGAAAGCTAGCAAGAATGGTTGACCAGAAAAAGTCTCAACAATACCTAAGAAGCCTCGGCATCCTTCACAATTATTTGCACAACTACTGACTGTGACTGAATCATCCTCAGTGGTCATCTTGATTTTTTTGTGAGAAGTGAGAACTTACTCGACAAATGTGTTTTCATCTCCGTTTTATTGTACTTAGTCTTATTCAGAAAAAGTAATGCAAAAACACCCTAAATTCTTCCAATGGTATATTGAGAAAAGCACTTAAAAGTTGTTTGTGGAAACATTTGTTAGACTCCTAAGGCCACTATCTCCCCACAATGAAAGCATGTCAGAATCCCATCCATGAGGGATATTGTCCTGCACCTTGCACCTTTTAGATTTGTCACTGCACTGACACATCTGAATCAAATAATTGGTTTTTTTTATCAACTGGTGTGTTGGATCAGGGAGATATCTAAACGTTGCAGAATATTGGCGTAACGTTTCAATTTCTTTAAAGAATTCAGCAGACTCTGCAAGTAATCACTCAGCAGGGGAATACAGGAACCTCTGTGAAGCAGAAACTGGGCTAATGGTTCTCTATTTTAACAGCTGGACCAGAGAAAAAGGCACCAACTTTCTCAGGTTCTGGGAGAAGGGGAAGAAGGATGTTGTAGGGTCCTTTGTAGATCTTGGAACCATGGTAACGTCACTTCAGGCTTGGATAACAGATGTAGTTCTCGAATGAGACAGGAGGAAAGAGTAATGCAGGTACTTGCACTGACGAGGAACCTCTATTTTGGTTTTTAAGGAGAGAGATCATGCTTGTTGTTCTGGGGACAGACAAAAAGTCAGAGTCAATACAACCCACAGCCAGGGAGAGGGATCTGAGCAAAGTCGAGACTCCGCAGCCTTAGAACCGAAACAAGGTTAAAACGTTAGAGACAGAATGAGGCTTATAGATCATGGGACTAGGCGAAAAGGCGGTGGTCAGGAAGTGTTGAAGTCCAGAAACCATTAAACTCTATGAGGTCCAGCCAGGTTGAGGCAAAGGCAAGGCAGTTTCCAGATAGAAAGAGGATAAGAAACAAGGAATCAAGCAGAGATGGAACGCTGGACATCTCCTAACCTAATGGTTTTCAATAATCTGGCCCTGTCAACTAGTTTGTCATTTGCCTTTAAACACTGGAGCACAGCTGGGAGGAATGAGTTTAGTTGAGAGTGAGCGGGAGCAGCACAGATGTGCTCAATGAGCAATCATAAGGCGGGGTGGAGAGTGATGGGAATTACAACCAGCTGAGAGGCAGGAATCATGACAACAGGTCAGGAAGGACAAGAGGAAGACATCAGTTTGACTCTAAAGCTTGCGTTGGGCATCCCTGATACCCCGCTGCCTCCTTTTAAATAATTGGTAAAAGATTAGCACAACTGTTGTCAATAGGTGTTTTTGTCACTATAAGATCTTGTGTTTAAGTAGCTTTGAAAATATTCAAAGCAAGCCCTGTGTACCAAAACCCAGAACACAAATTCTACCTCCTTATTTTTTGACAAAGGTAATCTTGGCAAAAATGGTTGAAATTGCAGGCAACCAGATGTTCACTCAGTTTTTCTAAAAAAAAAAGTTTTTGACACCTATGTAGGAGCCTTTGTCAGTTCTGATGGCTAACACTACCGCAATCTGTAGTTAAGCGCTGATGTTTTTAAGCACCTAGAGATTGATGGTCCTAGGCACATTCAGTTTGATTAAATTCAATTCAGTCTATTTATATAGCGCCAATTCACAGCATGTCATACCAAAGCTCTTAATAAAGACAATTAAACCAGATCATACAGTTAGATTGGTGGCAACTTAGCAACCCAGGAGACATTCAGGCCAAACGCAGTGTCTGCGGTGTTCATCGAGGACAGCAGCCGTGCAGATTATTTTAGTGGCCCAGACAGAGTTGTAGATGTTTTTAAGCTGAAACCACAACCTGCCCCCTCTGTTAAGTGATGGATTTTCTCTTTTGACAAAAATGTCACTGTCCAAGATAGAAACATTAGCCCCATTTACACTACTCTCTGAAAAAAAAATCAGTGCCGAGCTTGAATCAGTTAACCGTGCCGAGCACAGTTTCTTAAGACCGTTTACACACTGCGCTAGCACGGTTCCTCGCCTTCTAGTGACGATATACGGTACTACTGCTCTCTAGAGGTAAACAAGCAAATCCAGCTGGCGGCGCCGATAACATTTAGGTAGTTTGCAGAGAGTCAGGCAAAGAAGGCAGCCTTTGGTGAATTTACTCGACAGAGTCGGCTTTTGGGAAGTGGATACGACAAACGATAGACTAATCAGGGCTTACAGACACAGGAAACAATGACGTTCTCATACTGCTGAGTAGAATCATCACTGGAAATCATGTGGGATGGTAGAGAAGCTAGGATTTTTATGAATGTCTGAAATTGCATGATTACGGAGGCTGACTGTAAGGAGGTGACACGGTCAGCTCATGCGCTCATTGGCTACGTTCACACTGCAGGCCTTGATGCTCTATTCCGATTTTTTGTGAAATCCGATTTTTTTCGCGTTGCTGTTCATATTTCCAAATATGCGAATTGTATGTGATATACAACACAGGTATCCCGCATGAGCAGTAGAGGACACAATCACGTCACAGGCCAGCGTGCTCTTTTTTTCCAGAAGTAAACGTAGATGGTAGTGCCGGTGCGCACTAGCGGTCTTTTCCAACAATAAAAACACGATTTTTTCAATATCTTTAAAGATAAATACTGCTCTCTGCATCATCATCTGCCATGGTTGTTGTTTTTCTTGCCGCTTCTACGTAGCAAGACACAGAATAGTGACCTTTGTCGGGTTTTAATGACGTTCACACATAGGTCGCATTTGAAAAGATCAGATTTATATCGGATTCAGGACCACATAGCCAAGCGGCCTGGGTCGGATTGAAAAGAAAACCGGATCTGTGCTGTTCAGACTGACATGAAAAGATCAGATCCAGGTCGCATATGGGCAAAAAAAAATCGGATTTGGGTCACTTCAGGGTGCAATGTGAACGTAGCCTTTCTTACCTGGGAACTGATGCAGAGTTGAACAGCGCCGAGACCTACTGATGACCTTGTACCAGTGTAGCGCACTGCTGGTTAGGTGTTGAAACTGTCAGAAAAAAGTGAGAAAACGTTTGTTTGTCTGCAGTTGACACCTGTTTAGTGGTTTCCATGACCTGCAATAACTGAGAATTTGCACAGGCACAAGGGTGATGTTTGTATAATATGTATAACCTGCCAATTTGAAAGAGTGTACTTTTTTTAAACTTGGCTTTGTTTGTGACATTCTTCGAATAAACTTTTACCAAATTATGCTATCAAAAGGCCTCATATAGGGGGTCATAATTATCTTTTTTAATTAATGGTAGTTTCTATAAGCAGATTTGAGTGCATGATGAAAAATGGTGATTTAACCTGCTGTATTTTCTTTGTTTTTGTTTGCAATTGTTAGCAGAGTGTAGTAAATTAAACTATTTCTGTTAGTAACATGTTTTACTTCTACTGCCAGCATTAGCATGTCTATAGTTTGGCCATTCATTATTCTCTTGCATGGGTTATTGAATGTAATAAAAGGAACTGGAGGTTGACAATATCGAGTTGGGTAAAAGGTCCTGTTTTTTTTTATCAGTCAGTCAATGTTTACGGCACGTTAGGGACAGGCCTAACATAAGAAGATAAGAAAGGGTCACTGAGACCTGTCACTTAAGTAACATGTGCCACTTTCAATGCACTCAAACTCTCAATAGTATTTAATGATCAATATTGTGGAGTTCATAAACCTCTGAGTCATTTATTATAGCACTACTTTTCTAATTGAGTTTTTTATTATTATTTTAAAAGATCAACCTATTATCTGGGTATCAGATTTCAAGTTTCCCTGCAGGTCGTCTGAAAAGCTTTAGTCAAATTAATCTGGTTGTAGCTTTCACTTTTATTTCCAGGCTTCCAGTAACCAAAAGTCAATGAAGCAACATAATATCAGACTCACTAATGGGGTTTTAGGGGGTAATTGTT